TGTCAGACACGTTGTGCTGACAAAAAACAATCGAAATCTCCTCCCCTGTCCACCAGTCGTTCTTAACATCTAGTGATATGTCTTCAGTTCTCCATATTATAGTACCGCAAGCCAGGAAACATTACCAAACTAACAGGACAGTTGTACTCCACCATTTTCATAACACAGTTTTGATCAACCCAATATCTATGGAAGATTAACATGGTCATGTCATACCTTGCTTTGGTGGTATTTTCATTTGAATCACAGGCTTGCGTGACAAATTATCATTTTGAGGCCAAGTCAGCTTCAAGTTGCTTTACTTTTTCAGCACATTTTGTCTGATATTATGAACAGTTAACAGAACTTTATCTGTGCTACATTACTTCCCTAAGATCCAGCTGCCTCTACACTAATGTTTTCCTACAGCTTCGGACAAATCTGACGTGACTCTTTCACCGATCATCTTCAAAAGGTGTCAAGTTAATAATATGTTAGCAGTCACAAAGGATACAACGCAGCCTGGGAATATAATTTATATAGTACATTTAATTACAACAGGAGCGTTAACCAAAGTGCTGTACAAGAATACAACATACCTAATAAAATAACAAATAACTCTCAATCTGTATTAAAAGCCAGTAAATAAAAATGCGTTTTAAGATAAGATTTAAAAAGATTGACAGTGGGAGCCTGTCTGATGTGTTTCTAACATGACAAAAAAACTAAGCAGCATACAATCCAATCACTGAGTCCTGTACCATAATGTTGCCTTTCTGTTTCTATTAAATTACATATATTATCATATAGATATGTGGTAGACTTTAAAATACACAGCTTCATTATTAACCCTTTAAAACCTACCATAGAACCAAGTCCGCCAGAGTTTCCCAAACTAGTTTCCCACCACAGGAAATTTATTTTAAGTGTCTTCATAGTTTTATTTTTGAAATACACCAATTTTTATACACTGCAGGAACAACAAAAATAAATATTATAGTGCAAATTTGCAAAAAAAAGCAGCATATGCATCAAAATAAACTATTTCCAGCAGTGCAATATGAGTCCTAAACATCCCAGAAATGACACAGAAAGTCATAAAGTCAAAGATAACTTTTAAAAACACCAGTATAGGCTCATGAGGCCCTGATGGTAAAAAAAACTAAATTTTCACGAAAATGACGTCACTTCCGGTTTCGGGCAGGTCATGGCGGACATGCGATAGTTTGCGCTGATGGACGTAGGAAGTGTTATGAACAGCTGATTGGATCGGCAAAGTGTGTTTCTGGAATATTATGTTTTTGTTGCTGCAAGCGCTTTTTATGCAGTTTTTGCAAAACTATATGTGGAAGGAAACTGTGACCGAGGGCAAGCTGATGGCATAAGATGTAAGTACAACTCCTCCGGTTTCATATGCAAAAAAAATTATTGCGCTAGCTCACGTGGTTGCAGAGCTACCGGGATTTAAAAGTAGTTGCGCAAAACGGAGCGTGCCTGCTCCGACCGGCTTTAAAGGGTTAAGCTATCACTTACCATCAGATTGATAAGATGTAACTCAGTTTAAAAGCGCTGCAAGCCTAATGTTATTTCAAGCAGGCCATGAAGTCAAGCTTAGTTGCAATCCCAGCTGATCCCAGCACACATCAACTGATGGCTCATTCTACAGAACCAACTGGTAAATACAGGTTGTGTTTTTCAGTTTTTCAGAGTGAACTGGACGCCAGTATGAGGCAGACAACTTAAATTGAACCCTAGTGATGCCAAAATATCTAAATATCTAATGGGTTACCAACCAACCCATTCAGCCAGAAGATCATGAAGAAAATCACTATGTCTATGTTTAAATGCTTGTAGCAACTCACCGCTCTTGGTGTCCTTTCCATCCAGTAAGGGTCGGTAGTCACTCTTGGAGACCGTCTCCCCAACTTTGTCATCGTAGCTCTCTTTCTCCAGTGAAGCCACAAAGTCTCTCTTCAAAAGGGCATCACCAGGGGCCCCACCTTGGACGCCACCGCCACCCCCACCCAGAGCATCTCGCAGGCTCAGGTCCATAGTCCCGTTACTGGAGAGAAAAGGGACAAAATTACTTATATAAATTTTTGCTTAATGATATTTTTCTTCACCTTTAGTCAGGCGCCCATGTTGCTCACTACACTTATAAACTTAATCAGGCAGTTTTTAGGAAAAAATCTCCCAAGTTCTTTTTTTTAACAGAGCAAGGGATTTTCAACATATGACTTCTTTTTTAGAAAACGTAAATTATTTCCATCTACAGAAAGTAGCAGGCATATTTCAGAAAAAATGACCTGGGTAAATATTAATAAGCAACTTGAAAACAGACCTTTTTATTGAACCATTTACTTCTTTTTAAGCACCTTTCAAATGTTCAAAGCTTGAAAAATCTAGTCAAAACTGAGGAGTATCTTTACTCACAATATAAAAGCTTCACAAAGGGCCTGAACTGTTACTTGAGAAAGCATCGTGCCAAAAACAAAAGCAATCAGTGCAGAGTTGAATTACTGATGATGAGATGAAACTATAAGCACAGATGTGTTACTTATTTGCGAAGAAAGAAGGAAGATCACCGTCCCCACAGTGAAACATGATAGTGGGAGTATTATGCTGTGGGGATGCTTCAGTGCATCTGGAACTGGGAATTAGGGCTGTGCGATATGACCAAAATCTCATATAAGACATCTATAGTCCCGTTAACGATATAAATCACAAAAATATAACATTTTCTGTAAATGCTGTGAATCTTGGGCAGTTCGACTTGTGTGAGTGTTTCCAGCTGGGCGTCGTGTAGCTGGAGTTGAGTGTTTTAAGACATAAGTTGTAACGGCCGCCGTTTGCTTTGTGAGTATTTATTACACGGCGTGCGGCGGGGAAAAACGTTTGAGTCTAAGGTTTATTTTTTAGCATCTGGCAACTCTTTTTTGCTTCTCATCTGTAAATATTCTGCATCTTCTTTCACGTGATTCAGTTTATTTTGAAAAGTCTCAACAGGATCTTGAGCTTTATTGTGAAAGGTTTATGTGGAAAATAAACACGCGGACACGCAATGGTTTTACTGTCGTTGTTGCTAACGGCAATGCATAAAAACAGGCGCTTGTCCATCCGTAGTGTGGTTATATTAAATATAAGAGAAAGAGAGAACTCACTACAGTGACCATCAAAACGATGAAAAAATATTGCTATAAACAGTTTATTTTGCAACACCACGAAACAAACGATAGCGTAAACTGAAGCGATAGATGTTTTTATATCGTCATCCGATATATATCGTTATATCAAACAGCCCTACTGGGAATCGTATTAATTTGGAAGGAACCATGAGGAATACCGCTTAATTGCTTAATTAAATGCTTAATTGAAGCACCTGTTCAGCAAGCTCCAATGTGGAGAAAAGTAGAGCGGTAATATACAGTACAGCATAAAAAGCAAATATGATGCAAACCAATCCATGACACAGAGGCACAATTTGACTGACAAACCGTTTCTGGAATAAGATGCATCAAGGAAGGAAATAAGAAAATGAAATGCACTCCATCCTGACATAACTTAAATCAATATGTTCAGTTAAGAAATGACCCCTTACAACTTTCTAAATCCCACAAATACACACTGCAGCCCAACACTTAGACAGCATGACCCTATTACAAACTCTTCTTTCTCCCTGTTCTTTATTTCTGTTTATCCCTCCATCCACACTCGCGGCAAACAAGCTGTCATTGTCTTGCAACTGTACCAAACACACACACACTGACACTCTGTGGCCAGCAGCCAGGATGAGGACATACAGTAGAGTGTTAGCAGGCCTTGAGAAGAACTGTAGGCCATTGTTTCAGGGGTCAGACACCTTACAGTGGTCACCACACACATTCCCAAACTGAGAGTCACTTTGGGGTTCTTTAACAGTCTTGTTTTCTCTTGTTGGTTTTCACTGTTGCGCTAATCCACATGCAAGTGTCTTATTCTTTCACTCTCCTCTCATTTTTCTCATAAACATACATTTTTACCAAAAGTGCTCATTCCAAGTATTCCAAGTACTTTGTGTCACAGTCACACATTCCTCCTGACTCTTCCTCACACAAACACAATCAGGATGTACTCAATAATGCCATCATTCTAATTTTCAAAATGAACTATCCCTAAATAGAAGCCTCCATTGCCCTCCTAGCGTATTATACTGCAATATTTATCGCTTCATTGGACAGGTTTCATAAGCCAGAACATTCAGAGGCCTGAACTTGGGGTTCTTTGGGGGGGCTTTTTTTTTGCCTCATTGAATCTGTCTATCTACTGTTGTTACTCACAATAGCAGACTTTTTTTTTTTTATCAATACTGACACACAGAATTATACAGAATAACAATTAAGTTTTGTGTCTGGAAATACAACCCATACAGAAGCTTATCCGGAATCCCAATTATGGAAAAGCTTCACGTTTTGAAGGTAACAGTGTATATAATTTCTAGATTCAATACGAAGATTTACTTACAGAGAATTACTCAAAACAATGATAAAAACACTAAAGATGATCACAGGACTGCAGTTCTGCTCAGTTTGAAGCTGCTTTTTGTCTATTTATATCTGCAGTACGCAGATATTTTCAGATGAAAAAGCTCTGATAAAACCAATGTGCATTACAGCATGCATAGTTAATGAGTGGCTAGTGAATAAGCTGTAATAACTGTATCACAGCTGAGCTGTAAGAAGAGTGAATCTGGCTTATATATTTCTCAATATTTCTTCCCACAATGTATAATACATATGAAAGAACATTATCTTAAGGTAGTACTAGTACTAGTAAAAGTGGTGCACTCCAAAAGTTAACAGCTGGTCATGCTCATCATTTTAGATGCAGAATAATATATTCTGTTTGTTTTTAGGTAGTTTTCTAAAAATGTAATCTGCAAAGTCAACAGTTACTATACCTGTGAACTTTATTACAATGTTGAAATATAGTGGGCAACTACAAGAAAGTTGCACGAAACAGAGACAGTTAGTTAAGTTTAAAATATGTGAAAATTTATTTCTATTCAAATAAACATTCTGTGAATCACATTTTCTTTTTTTTTCTTCTTTTTTTACAAACAACATTATTTCAACAGGATGGCTACAATCAGCGGGTTCCCTCTTAGAATAAACTTTAACATCAGTGCTACACATCTGTATTATCATGTTACTATGTTGGCAAAGAAAAAGCAGTACATAAAGTAAGGAGGAAAAAAGAAAAAGCTGATAGTGACGGTAAGACTGTTGAGTGAGCTGTTCAGGTCTGAAGGATTAAAAACTGTCTTTCTACCCGAAAACCACCACCTCTCCCTGTCTGAAGCCAACCGTCTGCAACGTAATCACTTCACCCTCCAAACCACTGGCAGTCCTCACACAAGCTATGACACACACACTGGCAGGAATTTAAACACTTTGCTGTACCGTCATAATACAACTGAGATTAACCTGAGGATATTTTTGTAACTGTGTGTGAGGTAACGCAAAACATAATGTCAATTAAGCTCTATTTCCAAATTGCTGCCTTTTTCTGCTTTACATAAAAAGGGTATTAGCTAGGTTTTGTAATTATTTTGACCAGGCTGACAAAGTTTTCTGGGAGGAGTTTGCATTATAGATTTTTCAATCTTGAAGTATCAGTAAATAGAGAGTCATTGAACAAAAATGTCTTTTCATCATTTCAATCACTACAACATTAAACAACAATTTATGTAGAAAAAAGTAGAAAAAATGCTTGCATCAGTAGGTGTGAATGGGTGAATGAGCTATGCTGTCTAAAGTGCTTAGAGTGCTCAGTCAGACCACATAATCTGCTGCAATAAAACCAAACAAAAAAGGAAATGTCATACTAAAACTAAAAATGTATACTGTTACATTTCTGCTATAGACTCATTCTTATAACTATAAATGAACATTTCTGATGCAAAAAAGTTATTAACAATCAAAATCAACAATTAAACTATCAGTTGGTTGGAAAGTGTTTATTTACAACATTCTTACCTGTCACAGTTTATTTGATCTATTGAACTTGTAAGTTAGCTCACATTCTAATTCTAATTAGTGTCTAATTTTTATTGCAGTTTTATTGGACAGAGACAGAAGATCAACCAAAATATCCCCCCACAAAACAAACTATTATATAAAAGTTAGAAGTTAATTTGCATGTCACTGAGTGAAATATTTGATCCCCTACAATACAGCTAGAATTTTGGCTCCCACAGATTGGCTCAATCAATTGTAGATAGTCCTGATCTCAACTTGTTATGTGATTAAAGCACACCTGTCTACAGAATCAATTTCCAATTCCAGCCTCTCCACCACTATGGGCAAGACCAAAGAGCAGTCATATGGTAAATGAAGTAGTTATTATATAGGCCTTTTCTACTCTGAGAAGTCAAAACAATTTATACAACTTGTCTCATTCACACAAGCACTTTTTTCTTTTTGCATACTATCTAACATTCCCACACATTCATACGCCAATGAACTTCCTGAGCTACATATACTTGGATGTCAGGACCTAGAATGGGTCTACAATCCAATTGTAGGCCCATTGTAGCCTTCAATACCTGGGCTACAAAACTATCAACAATAATAAACAAAGTTCTGTACAGCTATTTGAAACTAAAAGGATGAATAAATAAAAGCAATACATAGCAATACAAGTAAAAAACAATAAGAATTTAAAAACTAGAAGGCATAGAATTAAGACATGTAGGATAGGTTGAACAAATGTGTCTTCAACTTAATTTTAAAAACCCCCACAGAGCATGCCTGCCTAACATCTTGAGGGAGGGTTGTTCCACAAATATGGTGCACGAAAAGAAAATGCACGTTCTCCAATTGTCTTTTTTCTGGTTCTGGGAACCTTTAGAAGGCCAGAGTCCTAAGATCGTAGAGCACGGGATGGAACATAAAGGTGTAAAAGGTCGGAGAGGTATGAAGGTGCCAATCCATTGGCCTTGTAGGTGAGCAGCAGGATCTTAAAATCTGCTCGAACCTAACAAGGTAGCCAACGAAGAGATCTCAGTAGAGGGCTAATGTGCTC